CACACAGTGTTCTCAGGGTCTCAAGAGAGCAAGAGCAGAAGCTGCCAGGCCGCTTGAGGTCCAGACTTGGCACTCTAACACCATCACTTCTACTGCAATTCATTGTTCAAAGCAGGACATTAAGCACCCCTATTCAAGGGGGTAGAGAAATAGACTCTACCACTTAATGGGGGAAGCAAAGGCACGTGAAAAGAGAAGTGGGAGAAATCTGTGACCATTTTTTGCAGTCTTTCACAAGGAGAAAATAATCTTACCTGGACAAAGAAGAGGCTTCACCCCAGTGGTCTTTCAACTTTAACATGTATATGAATCACCTTAGGAACTTGTAACAATGCAGGTTCTGATTCATTCAGTCTGGTGTGGGACTGAAGGTATTTCTAACAACCTCTCAGGTGATGCTGATGCAACTGGTTCACAGACTACAGTTGAACCAAGGTTCTAATCACCGACATGGGGTAAGTCCATTCCATTTTCTCTACTTAGTGGGGCGAGTGCTGGCCTGTCCAATAATGTATTGGTTCTTCCAAGGGTAGAGAGCCCCCCAACCTATGCTATAATTTAAGATATGCAGCCAGTGAACTCAGTTAATGGAGTATGTGTATTACAGGTCTACTTTAAGAACCACAGTGGCCTGACACGGATCACATACCTGCTGGAATTACTTGATTCTCTGTTAGCTCTGTGTCTGTCTTTTCCGGTGTGGTTTTGTGACCACACTAGGAAAGATCCACAAATGTCAATATTAAAATGTTCACTTTGACTTTAAAAAATGCCATCATTGCCTTCTATAGGATTTTAAAATTAGATTTTAAATAGTTTCACATTTCAAGCATTATTATAACAGATTGCTTAGGCCAGATGGATGGTTCTCTGAGTTCTTTACCAGGCCTGGTAAAGCTTGTCTAATTACATTCAATCACAACTTTCTCACATTTTAATTCCTCTTTCATCAGAGGCTGTGCATACCATCATGTCAGGAAGGGGCCCCAAGCTTGGGGACAGATACCCAGATAACAGAAACATGGGTTAAAGTCGTTAAAGCCTGGGGCTCTGGTCACCAGGAGCCCAGAGTATCTTTCTTCTTCTGATATGAACTGATGATGCAGTTTGTAATACAGCTAAGGTGAATGTCCTGAGTGTGTATCTGTTTCTGGCTGATGTGGGAGTGATAAGGCATTTATACACAAGAGTGGCCAATAATTATATTTGTTCACTTGTTTTATTTTTTGATGTCACCAAGCCATTTTATTTTTGTCCTCCCAAATGCTGATCACCTGGGGGAAACTGAGGCAATGCTTGTAGTTCTTCTTCTGATAGTATGGTGCTGCAAATTTGAAAAAAAAATTATAAGAAACACAGACATAGATGACGGGCCACAAACATAGTTATCTTTCTCTCTGAATGAAAACAAATAAAAATCAGGGATCGGGTCAACACCAAGAGACAGTTGTTTGTTTTTAACGGTTGCCCAGTTTCCTTTCAAAATGGAGGGCTGAAGTATGATACAGTTAGATAAGGAGGAAAAAAAGGTCTAGTTATAAATTGATAGAATGATAGCATTCCAAAGAACCACAGAAATCAATGAATACAAGCCTCTTACTTTACAAATAGGAAAACTGGGGCCCAGACTGGTGACATGACTTCCATGAAGCCATGGAGCTTCCCCCTGGTCGTCCACATTCACTCTACAGACTCCAGCAAATCATGAAGGAGATTTTACACTCTGAAGTTGATGTCGTGCTATTGGTCCTTCTTCTACGATTTCTTGCACCTTTACTAGAAACTTCTGGTCTTGTATTTGAGATTTTCCAAATTATTTGTTCAAAATCATGAGTGTGATAAAAACCCTGTTTTCCCCTTATGGCCTGTTCCATTCTTCCCTGGAAGTTTCTCGTTTCACACCATCACATTTTTATTAAAGTCACACTGACAAATGGGGAAATAAAATCCTTCTGAGGGTTGCTTTCCACCAAACTTTCTTTCTCTTCTGTGCTTTATTAAAGATAGAAAAGACAAGAAAAATCTCATATTATACTACTCCGCAGGCTTTCTGGAATTACACATTAAATAGGCTGCTTCGGTGAAGGTCCATCAGGGTTCGTGGGGGAGGAAGGGGAAGAAATTTTGTGTACAATGCTGGACACTTTTTATATACAAGACCATTTAATCCTCATAACAACTTTCCTCTATTTTACTGGGAAAAAGAACTGAAGCTCAGAGTAGTTAAACAGCTTGCCCAAGATTACACTATTAGTAAGGAGAAGAAGTTGGTTTGGAACCTAGATCTCCAAACTCTTTGGTCTTTGTTCTATACCAATGGTTCTCAAATGTTTGTCCAGGTTGTATTAGAATCACTGTGGAAATTTTCAAACAATAAATTCTCAGGATTTACTCTCTGGCATGATCTTACAAATCTGAGTTGGGATCCAAAAATTCTGTTATACATCTTTGTTTCTATTTTATTTTCTACTTCCATATCTGCATGTATCTCTATCAATTAGTACTTGATACATAATCAGTTGTCCTCAAAAGTTTAATATACACCTTTTTTAGCTCACAATTCTGTGACTAGGGAGTTGGAGCTATCCTCAGCTGGTTGGCTCTTGTGCTGGTCTTGCCGGGCTCATGCATCCATGGTTGGCTGCCAGGTTGACTGGGGACCAGCTGGTTTATGAGGGCCTCAGTTGAAACATTGACATTTGCTCCATTTGGTCTCTCACCTTCTAGCAGTTTAGCCCAGGTTTTTTACATGGTAGCGGTAATCAGGGGTCCCAGCAGCAAAGAGGGCAAGTTCCAATACATAAGCAATTTTCAAGTATCTACATGTATCACATTTGCTATTGTCCCACTGACCATAGCAAGTCAAGTGACTGAGCCTGGAGACAACGTAAGGGTACCACACAAGGGCAGGTATACAGGGAAGACAATTATTATGACCATTTTTGTAACCAATATACATCTCTAAGTAAATATAGATACTTGCTTAACATGCATGGAGATAAAAGCTCGAACAGTATTTAAGGGTATGGAAATACGTGTGCACTTCATCTAGCCCCCTTCCTCATAATCCTACTCTCCAAAGGATCCTGCTTTTACCTATGTTTTTAGCTAGTGGTGTATAACTTTTTTACTGTTATTTAATAATTTGAAAAAATATTACAGTTATATGAGTAAACTTACAGAGTCAAATTCTTCAATAAAGTTTGTTACAAACAACAGAAGCTTCCTTCTCATTTTGTTCCCCTCAGAGGCAAACACTTTCAATTCTTCTGGCTGATTCTTTTGGTAGTTACCTCCATATTACTAAGAATTCTTTTTTCTGTTTTCACTTCTTAACTTTTCAGTATCTATTGTTTTTCTTCAGAAAATGAGACCCCAGACCTCTTTTACCTCATGTCTGCCCTCATCAAACCACACACCCTTTGCACCCCATTCCTGTCAGTGAAGCTGTCTTAGAACTTTCTCTACTACCAGCCTGGGATTCAGCTGTCCCAGGTTAGTTGAGAGTTAGTCCCAATCCATTTGCTTCCCAGCTTCCAACATTTTTCTGATGGTACATTTTACTCTTTCCTTTTGTTCCTATGGGTTTTTTTTTCTTTTTTTGGCTTGTAAAAAGCCCCTTTACTGTTGTTTTGTTGGGATTTCAAGACAGAGTAAAAATATATCCATGTGCTCAATCTATCATCTTGATCTGGAAGTCCTATAGTATTTTTTCTTGTTTTGTCAATGTCAAGAAATATTGGTACTCTACTTTGGAAAGCAAGCATTTTAGGTTATTTATACTACCCCTTTCATCCTCTTTTATTCCTTTTGATTTGGATTAGTTATATTTTTATTTTTATTTTATTTATTTGTGTCAGATCCTAGGCAGTAGGAACACAGCAACTAAAAAAAATAGTCCCTGCACTCTCAGAGCTTACATTCTAGTAGGGCAAACAGAGTCTAAATTATATATGTACATGTATACATGTTGTTATTACAAACATAAAAGTATAATGTATAAAATTATAAAAATAAAAAAATATATATATATAATTTCTGGACCTTCTATATCTGAAGTCTTGTGTCTTTCTCTAGCTCTGGAAAATGTCTTCTATTGTTTTTAAAATATTTTCTCCCCTATATTTTCTGTTTTCTCTTTGTAGACTTTTACTTGATGGATGTTCCCCCTCCTGGTTAGACCTTTCTGCCATTTCCAGCCCTGCCAACAATTGCTTTCTCATCCGCCTTCTCTCTCCTCTGCTCCATCCCTCTCTTGCTTTACATCCTAGGACATTTTAAATTACAGCCCCTGCATTCAATGTTTAATGTAGTGATCATATTTTTAATTTTCATAATTGTATTTATGAACTTTTGTACACTATTTCTTATTCTCTTATTGCTCCTTTATATAGCTGTGTGCCCTTGTGTAAATGGATGCAGTAGCCACTCAACTTTTTCTGGGAGGTAATGAGATTTCTTTGAGGTTTTCTTCTCCAAAAGTTAATTCTGCTTTCCTGGGGTCACTTGTTCTATTTGATCATATTGGCCCATCTCCTTCGTTTCACTTGTTTGTTTCAACAGGTGGTGAATCTTGGTAGTCCTGTCATATTTATGAAGGAATAACTATAGCAATTACCATGGGTAAGTGGCTGGAGTTTTCTCTACTATTTTATTTTATTTTGTTTTATTTTATTTTATGAGACAGGGTCTCACTCTGTAGCCCAGGCTGTGGTGCAGTGGCTTGATCACAGCTCATTGTAGCCTCAACCTCCCAGCCTCAAGCAATCCTCTTGCATCAGCCTCCCAAGCAGCTGGGAACTACAGGCACATGCTACCATGCCTATCTAATTTTTGTATTTTTTTGTAGATATGGGGTCTCTCCATGTAGTCCAGGATGGTCTTGAACTCCTGGGCTCAAGTGATCCACCTGCCTCAGCCTCCCAAACTGCTGGGATTATAGGCATGAGCCACCACACCTGGCCTTTCTGTACCTTTTTAAATGTTCATTTTTATCACAGGCTGCCTATGAGTGGACCAGATGGATAAACCAGAGACCTTCACCTTAAGGGGCCCAGCAGATCAGATGAGCACTTAATGTCCCCTGAAATGTCAAGACGAAAAAGAGTCCAGCCCAAAGGTTCAGCCTCTCCATCAGATGTACAGGTAGGCATGTTGTTCATTGATTTTGAATCCTTCTCCTAGGACCGAATTTCGACATAACATATGCTCAGAGCAAGGGTCATCTGAGGGAGGGATCCCTTATAGCTGGCTTGACTATGGAAGCCATGGAGAAGGTAGTGTTTAAGCCAAGAATTCCTAGGCCAGGGTGTATCAATTAGGAATCTTAGGTTACATACAACAGAAAATATCACACAAAAATTTATTGACTCAAGTAACAGAAGCCCTGAGTTAAGACGGCCTTCGGGGTTGGTAGATTCAGTGACTTAGCTGTCTCATTGAGGAATTTCCTCTCTTCTATTCTCACTCCCTTGCACAGTGCTGACTTTGTTCTAAGGCTGGTTGGTTGATGGTTGACAGAAGCAGGTGGTGCCTTTGTTTCCCCTTTTGTGTCCAGTGGGTGAGAGGCAATGCTTTCGCCCCAGTGTTCCAAGCAAGAGACCTTAATTCCCAATGGGATGATGGCTTACATCACATGTCCACTCCTGGACCAATGACTGGGGTCAAAGGGTATAACATTCCGATTGTTCTGAGTCAACCAGGGTCTGCCCCTGGTGCTGAATGGAGTGGAATCAGCTTCCTAGAGTGGGAGGGTGGATAACTAAACAAGACTGCGGACACTGATAGGGTGGAGAGTGGGTGCAGGAGAGGCAACCAGCAATATTTACTGCAGCAGAAAATCGCAGATTATACAAGGCATCAGTAGAAAGAGATGGCTGAGACTGAGCAGTGTAGTCTGAGTTTGGGGGCTGCTGAATATCCCAATGTGACTACATAAAAAGTAGAGTAGCATCTTTGTGCCTATCTTTACCTGGAGTATGGCTTTCCTCTCTAGGTCTTTAATTTGCTTCCCACAACTCTTCAGATTAGAGATCTTCGTGTTTGAGTCAGTATCCCAATAACTCCACTGGACAGACTCAGGAGATCTGCCAATCTCATGCAATTACATACAAAGCTGGATGTATTTGTACATTTTTCTGGGACATGACAGAAGGCTGGCACCCTATCGCCTTCTTGCTGATCAGCCTACCCTGATCCCTGTGATTCCTGCCCACCTGTATCCTGGACACAAACACATACCTCTTTCTTTCTGCTTCTACCAGTTTCCATGGACTTGACCTAGTATGTACTTGATCCTTTCACGTTCGTTGACTTTTAAACCAATGAGCAAAGGCCAGATGGTTGATAAATGGAGTTGGGATATCTAGCTAAATATTTAGAAAAGATAAGCCTTGCAATTTCTACACAAAAATAGATTCCATATGGTGTAAGATAATAAATGTAAAAAGTTTTACCAAGAACATACTAGAAAACGTTATACTTGAATAACAATATAATTTTTAAAGTATGAAAGGAATTTCTTAACATAAGCTCAAGGGCAGTTATCTTAAAAGAAAATTATGTAGGGATTAAAAACCTCTGAACATCAAAAAGAAACATAAAAGATTAGAAAGCAAATAAACTAAAAAATATATGAAACATGTGTGGCCAAGGATTAATATAATTAATCTATAAAAACATCCTTATAAATCAATAACAAAAGATGAATTCTCCAAAAGAAACATGGGCTACAGACATGAACAGTTAGTTTACAAAAGATGAGTTACAAAGTACTAATAAAAACTAATAAAAATATAAAAACCTTCCAACTTACTTACAACAGAAGAAAATGAAAACAATGAGATTTTTCTTTAAAATTACAACAGTCAATAAAAGAAAGCTGTAAGGAAATGAACCAGGGTATAGTCTACTGATGGAGTTTAAATTAGCACCATATTTTTTAGACTGCCATGGTAGTTTTTAGCTTATAAAACTATAAAGTATCAAAAACCTTAAAAATGTGTGTTTTTTGATTTAGCAGTTCCATGTTTGGAAATTTAGTATAATAAAATAGTCACACAGACAAAAATGTAGGTTCAAGGATATTTATTATAATGCACTTTGTTTAGTGAAAAATGGGAACATTCCACTGTTTACTAAAAGCATGTTGATTGAAGAAATTATGGCCCACTTTTACAATGAAATGCTGTGGCTATTACAAAATAATTTTAAAGAAATATGTCCAAAGGCATGGAAATATGTTGAAATACATTACTAAGTGAAGAATGGGGGTCATGAAATAGAAGTACCATGATCCTTCCCTTACAATATGTATTTATGTGCAGAGATACACAGAAAATTACCTTCTGAGCAACACTGTCCAACAGAAATATAATGCAAACCACCAATATAGTTTTGTTTTCTAGTGGCCACATTAAAAAAGGTAAAAATAAACTAATATAACAAATAATATGTTTTATTTAACCTAATATATTAACAATATTTTACTTTCAACATGTAATGAATCCTAAAATTATTAATGAGATATTTCACACCATTTTTCCATATTAAGTCTTCTGATGTGTATTTTCCTCTTACAACACATCTCAATTCAGACTAGCCACATTTCAAGTGCTTAATAGCCATGTGGGACTAGTGGTAATTAATTTGGAGAGTGCAGATCTAGAATTATATTCACCAAGCTGTTAAAATCAGTTGGAATAATTAGTGTCCTTTTTTGTTTTTTTCTGTTATTTTGTATTTTCTGGAATAATCGTGAACTACATTTTTAACAGGAAAAAATGAGCAAAGGAACTTTTCTATTTGCTGAAAAGAGGGAGTAAAAATAACAATTTCAATATCAGACCAAGCAGAAGCAGAAAAGAGAATCCACTGCATTGATTGCATACTCCCAAAAAGTGGAACAGAGCTCCTGAGATCTCCACAGGTAAACTCCCAGTATAGTACACCCCATGAGGGTGCTTAGTTATTTCAGGGAAACTGGAATTTTGTTCAAGTAAAATTGCTGATTTTAAAAATGGCTATCACCTAAACTTTGGAAATCAAAGTAATTCTACAGACGTGTGATGAGAAAAATATTTGAAACCTTTCTACGTATGGATGGTAATCTTAAATGAAGAATTATAAGAATCCTGAAATATACTTGTCCAGTAAGCCAGATCCGTGGGTGGAATTATTTCAGAAGAGGTAACATAAAAATGGAATCATTATTCAATTACAAATCAATTATTCAAATCTCTTCACATCATGTATACTTTAATTGAAGAGCTAGGAACAGCTTATTCTGGTCGTTAGGTAACACAGGTGGTGATTCCCCTCCAGCTGTAAGCCTGTGAAATCCAGCAAGGGACCCACATGAAGCAAAGTAGGTAAGCTGAGGAACTAACAGCATTCTTGCAAGTAAGCTTGTTTTGCCAATTTTGGGCCTGCCAATTAATTTTCTTTAACTATCCCAAGGGTTAAAGATAAATAAGCTGTAAATTCCGTATTTTATTTGCTGGTGCCTCCACAAGGTCTAGCAGAGGACCTAGTATATGATAAAAGTTGGTTACTAATTTACTTAATAGCACTATTTAGTGACTATCTATTGCATGTCATCATGCTTAGAATGCTTGGAATACATCAGGGAACAAACAAGACAAAAATCCCTCATGGAGCTTCCATTTTTGTGAGGTGAAATAGATACTAAACAATATACGTGATAAATAAAGTAAATTATATAATGTTATAAAGTGATAAATGCCATGAAAAAAATAGAGGTGAGTACACACTCATGTTCATTGTAACATTATTCACAATAACTAAGAGATGAAAGCAACCTAAGTGTTCACTGATGGATAAATGGATAAACAAAATGTGAGTAGATAGATAGATAGACACATATATATATGTACAATGTGTCTTAGTCTGTTCCTGCTGCTATAACAAAATACCTTAGACTGGGTTATTTATAAACAACAAATTTATTGCTCTTAGGTCTGGAGGCTGAGAATTCCAAGATCAAGGTGCCAACACATTCAGTGCCTAGTGAAGGTTTGCTCTCTGCTTCAAAGATGGTGCCTTTCAGCTATGTCCTCACATGGCAGAAGGGGCAAACACTGTGTTCTCATATGGTGGAAGGGCAGACAGCTCCCTGCAATCTCTTTTATAAGGGTATTAATCTTATCTATGAGGGCAGGGCCCTCATGAGAATCATTTTCCAAAAGCCTTCACTTCTTAATACTATCATATTGGATATTACATTTCAACATATAAATTTTGGGGGAAATACCAACAAGCAGATCAAAGCATTCCAGCTCCCTGAGTTTAGTCCTTTTCACATGCAAAATACATTTATTCCATTCCAATAACCCCAAAAGTCTTTGTTTCAACATCAGTGCAAAAGTCTAAAGTACAGTCTCATCCAAATATCACCTAAATCACATTTGAGTAAGACTCAAAGGTGTGATTTATCCTGAGGCAAATTCCACTCCAACTATCAGTCCATGAAATCTAACAAGTTCTGTGCTTCCAAACTACAATGGTGGGATAGACATATGGCAGGCATTTGCATCCTAAAAAGGAGAAACAGGAAAGAATGGAGGGATAACAGGTCCCAACCAAATTTAAAACCCAACAGGGCAAACATTAAATCTCAATGTTCCATAATAATCTTATTTGACTCCATGTCCCACTTTCTGGACACATGGGTAGGGTTTGGTCTCCCAAGGCTCTGGGTGACCCTGCCACTATGGGTTCCTGAGTGTGGCAGCTCTCACAGATTGGAGTTTTGTACCTGCAGTTCTTCCAGGCTGGGGTTGCACGATACGGGCTCTATATTTCTGGGGTATTGGGAATAGCCCTGACTCCCATGGCTTCACCAGGCATTGCCTTAGTGGGGACTTTCTGAGGTGGTCCCACCCTCAGGGTTCCACTGGGTATTGCCCTAGTTGGAGCTCATTATAGTGGTTCCACCCTTGCCGTGGTTCTCTTCCTGGGCCTTGAGGCTCTTTGGGGCATCCTTCCAAATCGAGGTGAAGGTAGCCATCCCTTCACAGTTCATCCACCCCTGCACCCTG